TGCTTAAAGGTCTATCCTATGTTGACTTATGCATAGGAAGAAACTTGATCACTAAAGTAAAACCACCGCCAAGAAAAGCAGTGTTTTGTCAGGTTGGTGTGTTTTAGTTCTACATTTAAATGATTTGTCTTTTTCCAAGCTAGTTTTCCCTTAAAAAAACTTTAAGGTGTCACACATGAACTGTGTATGCTGGACTGCAGTAAGGATGCAATTCATCTCGCCCAATCCTGCTCTACAGAAAAATTTTTATGAAGCAGCAAGAAACTGAGATTTTATTCATATGAACTCACACTGCTTCATTACCATTAGCTTCGTTAAGTATACAAGGCTGTCACGATAAAATAAACAATATTAATTGTTAGAAAACTTATCAAATTTGAAAAGATTCTTAGAAATGTTTCATTATTTTATTATTGGGCATCTGCCTTAGTTTAGTTTTGCATGAGGTAAGAAACAATTCATCATTCAGTGAAAATTCTAACTGCTTACATTACTGGAGCTTTTGAGCACAATGCAATGAGAAGATAGGATCAAAATACAGTTCTATTCTTAAACAGGCATGAATTGCAAAAATCTAGTCCTGAATTACTGAAGTTCAAGGAAATCTAACTGACAGTCTTGTTTAAAACATGCCTAATGCTTAACTTGCAAGTAAACTTAGAAGTGAGGGATAAGACATGCCTCCATACAGTAAGAAATGGAAAACTATTTACAAACTGCTCTGAAGGACCAAACTCATAGAACAAAAACTATGTTGTGATGGCATTCCTGAAGCTATGAATGTCATTGCTGTTTTGCAATGTGCCTTTTTACTTTCTTGTTCTCATCTGTCTTACAGCTTTTGATCCAAGTCCACTACAATCCCTGCTGTTGAAGCATCTCCACTGCTTTAGCAGCTGACACTTTATGCTGATAATTACTCAACATTCTTGACAACAGCGCTTCTGCAAAAAAATTAAAGGAAAGCAAAACAACATCTAGAAATAATTCCTGAAAATACTATGAGATACAAAAGGAAACTATTTATATACGAAGTCTTACATGAAAAAAACCAGCAAGCATTCAGAAATTGAAACTGATGAATTCTCAGGAAACAGTCCCACACACATTCAAAAAGGGAATTTCCTTGAAGGGAAGTGGGCAAGATGTCCAAAAATCTCAATTCCCTCTTTAAACTACCAGTAAGAAGAGAGGTAAGTTTAAGGCTGGTATTGCAGCTGTTGTTTCACTAAGTACAATACCCACCCAACACTACTTCACAGTGTTACTACAGAAGTAAATCTGCTCACACAAAACTAGGACTACAACTCCTACATATTTTTGGTCTCTGTTTTAGACATACAGAAACTATTTTAATACAGTAAATCGTAAACACTGAGTTGGTGACACAAATAAAAGCAGGTTTTGGAACAGGAATTATTTTATAGAATGCCTCTGATTGAGATTCAACAATGTAAATTGAAGCGAGCCATCCATAACTGGATAATAACCACTGCATGTTTGAGTAATTAATGCATTACTGGCACTCAGAAGTATTTTCTATTTAAAAAATTATTTGTGCTGTTGCAAAATAAATCACCATCATCAAGTTCCTCTTTCAGCCAGAAGAATGTATGCAAAATAAAAATTAGCAGAATATTACTGGAAAATTAGTTTCCCAATTAAGCTACTGTGAAACCAGAATGTATATAAATTATTGAGCTATAACAACACATTTCAACTAACTGACTTTTAGAAAGGAAGGGGAAAACCCTAACCAATATGAAAGTGTTTATTCATAATTTATCTAGTAGAGATCACACAACTAGATTTACAGATTGTCTAGGCATCATCAGGCTGCCATTAGACTAACAATCAATGCAATCAAATTTCTAATGTTCATCATCACCAGCAACAAGAATGCTCCAGGAAAAGAAATCCTCTTACAGAAAATATTTTTATCATCTGTAACAAAATCGAGTAACTGCTAGCTGCATTAAACTTGATAACAAGATATTTTTCAGAAATAGTTCTATTTTTTAAAAAATCCTAGTTTAATGAGTTAGGGAAAAGACACAGATAGAAACTTTCAACAGGAAAATCTAATACTGCAGCCTTACATGAGAAGGTCCAATTCTGGTTGCCATTGCACTTACCGTTTATCTTCCTGTTTTAGACTGACCAGTAAAAAGTGATAGGATATAAGTCAAGGAAGCTTACTTTTCAAAGCTTTTAAGAAACAAAAACAATTATTAGAAACAATTATTATTGTCCTGCTAAATACCTTGTTGGCAGAAGACTTCAGTATGTTCTAAGTATAATGCCAGAAGAGTTTATCAAGAGCTGATATGGTAAAAAAACTATCCAACAGTATCAAAAAAAGCAATTCTCATCAAGAGTCAACTCTAACCTCTGAAAATAGATAATAACTTTCTCAGTACATGTACAGTAGTAATCTGAGAGTAGAAGTAAGTGCAAGATGGAATATGTTCACAGTAAATGAGCATTAGTAAGAACAAATAAAAACTAATTAGTTGTATAAGAAATTCTAAGTTGAAATCAGATTTCATGTGTTATTTTGCAATCTCCAGAAAAGGCTTACAGTTTTCCTCTGCTTGAAAATGCAAGGCTTTTTAAATTCCCACACTATACAACTAGTTATCTAAAAACATCTTAAAACAAGCATCTATAAAATGATAGGCATGCTTAGTCACACAGCTGCCCTGATTAGAAACTGTTGCTAAAGAAAGCAAACACATCACTTGCTATTTTGTTTCAATTTTTCCTCTTTTAAAGTTTCAAGAGCATTAGAAGTAAGACCTAAGTCAAGACATAACCAGAATACTAAAGACTATTCTTGAGAACACATTTTTTCATGTATCATTGTACAACACTTTGATTTCATATGAGTTATATACAAGTTAAAAATCTTTTGGTATGGCTGTTACTGCAAAACTACATCTATATATTCTTGCAGTGTATTAATTAGGTCCAGATGAACAAACAATTTCAGTAACGCATGAGAGTGGGAAAGCTACGGCCTTCCAAAGCAGTCTTCCACCCTTCACCTCCAAAAAATCTGATGTATAAAAGCCATAAAAATTATGCATAGTGATTAAGTGGTTTCCATTTGAACCACTCTTCTTCCCTTTTTATCCTACATTTTTGCCAAGTCCAGCACAAGAACTTTAACAGTTTCTATTCATATAGTGTTTTGAATCTAAAAATGTAGATAGGCAACAAGGATGGACAAACTGTGGTAAGCAATTTAAGCACAGAGACTAAATACTCTTATCTCAAGACAGATATATGAATAAACCAGTAAATGCTGCGGTGGCCAACATTATCTAGTTTTCCCCACACCAAGCTGCAGAATACAGGCCACAACTTCCAAACAGCAATGGAATCTGAGGGAGATACTGCCATCCCAGGGCTGTGGGTTGGCTCCCCAGCTTGCTGTTACTGCAGCTCTCTGCAGCAAGAAGCATGGGTCTCACAGAGGAGCCAGGAGGTTTTGACAAGTAGCTTACAGGGTCAGAAAGTCAGGCAACCCCAAAAGATGCTACATTAGGATGTTACAGTGATATGACATTTCACATTTGGCACTACACAAGTCATCAGTAAGTGCTATTTCTAAATTACATGAGACGACTATTACATGCTATTTCCCCAGTTATGTTTTATAATATTTGGAACACGCTAAAGGACAGCATGAGTTCTGAATCCTTGGTCTTCATTTCTCTGAAGAAAAGAGGTACTGAAAGCAGTTTTCTTTTACAGTGAGAACATATGGAAATAAATTAGCATCTGCTTTTGGATGTGAGTCCCTCAAAACACAGTGAGCAAAAACAAATTACACCTCTTAATAAAATCAAAGGAACTATTTTGCTTCCTCCCCATCTTTACTAAAAACACTAAGGAGCAGACGAGGGGGAAAATGCCCTGCTGAGAACAGGAAATAATTTATTTTCTAACATCTCTCAGGATGTCTCAGAACATACATAATAAATTCTTTGCAACCTTACAGAAAATTTCATGGTATAGAATGTAAACCAGGTTTTTCTTTCACAGAAAGTAGCTGAGAAACCAGCAGTTCATTTCTGATTGATGTATGAAGTCACACCTATCAAGGGGAGCAAAATCCCCTTCTGCAGACTACAGCTGTTTTAATAATGTAAAAGAGCAATTGTGTGAATTGCTTATTCATTATTTCCTCACTAGGAATAGCTGTAATAGTAAAACGCATCCGATTCAAGAGAAACTGAAGCATTTGCAACACAGTTTGCATTCACTGAACTGATCTGGTTGGTAGAAAAAAAGTCATACCCTTTGACCAAAAAAATTTAGAATCTGACTCCTCTGATAGCACCATTTTGTTAGTCCTGCAGGATGAGTCTTCAGAGGAAGAGCACACCTAAATTACTAATATAAATAATGTACAGATTACAGCAAGGACAAATGTTCCCTCACCATTAAAATCTTTCAGTCTCCTTTGTAATGATTTGGATGTTCTCATCTAGTTTTACACAGGGTCAATAGGGGGAGTGATTTTAAGCTCCATATGAAATTAATATTGCCCTTTTTGTTTCTGAAAACTTGCTTAGTAAGTTAAGCATAAACCAAAACCAGTAATTCAAACAAGCTTAGCAGAATGAACTGGTTTAAAATTTATACCTTCAGGCAGAGTAAGGCACATCAGGATGGGTGATTCCTATCACCTTCCACTTAGAAAAACTATTTTACTGAAACATTTCAATTCCCAAGTGAAAAAAAAAATTAGTATCTGAACACCTTCATTTGATGGAGGTGTTACATCACTAGCTTGTTGGAAAATTAAGAGTGATGTCATCATACAAAAGAGTAACTACACTACTGAATATGTAGCAATTCACTCAGGGGAACAGTGAAATACTGAAGCAAAAACAGCCAAAAAGAAGATGGCAATTCAATAACTAGTATAAAAATAATGTAATGAAAAAATTCTTTTGTGATTTGGACTTTCACCATAGAATTGTACTTACATTGTCCATGAAATTTGGCTTAAATCCTCCCTCCTGCTGTCGTCGCAACTCCTCCTGTTCCCTCTGGCGTAGCATCTCTTCTTCCCGACGTCTGTGCTCTTCTTCATGCCTAGGATATTTTTCAAAATTATGTCAGCTTAGTCTCTTGACCTGTTCAGGCTTGCACTCAGCTTCAGAGATAAGATCAAGCACATAAACAAAACTGGCCATTATTTATTTTTTACACAGTAAAAGGCACTAATCTACTCAGCTTGATGAGTTTGAGTACTTTTGAAGTTTTGGTTTGTTTTATTTTTTTTACTGGAATACAAGTAATTTCAATACCAATACATTCTATACCTGCTCTTTCAGCTATAGATCAGTAAGCAGGTTAAAATATACCAGTTTTTAAGAAGCCACTATGGATTAAAACATTTCAACAGTGCCAAAAGACACAACTTTTAATTCTGAGATGTGTTTGTTCTGTTCTTTTTATCTTATTGACATTTATTATGATATTTAACAAAAAGTATAAATCAGTATGATGAGACCATGTCTATTTTCTTAAGCTTTGGAAGAGGCATTAAAACAATTATTTGCATGAATCAAATCCTAAAAGAAAAATTGTTCTCAGCATACTAGAATATCAAGTGAAAAACTTCCAAAATCCAATGTCAGACTATAAGATTGCAATGCTATGATTCTACATGCAGATCACCTGCCCATAAAATTTAGAAGCAAGTTCCTATCTATTACACCAATGCTCTGGTCATGTTAAAATAAATATGAAACAAAAAAATAGGCTAAGACATTTCTATGCTAATTAGAAATCTCATAAATTTACAACAAAATTAGCAGAGTTGAAGTGAAAAAAAATCAAGCAACACTCAAAACCAATATTTTATATTGTATGATATTATCAGAAACATCACACATGATGCTTGTGAGAAGTTTAGCTAACATATCTAAATTCATGCAAGCCTACAAGGCTGCACGCCACACCTCTGCACAGTAGAAGACAAAATACCTCAATTGGATCTGCTTGCGTTTTTGAAGTTCTTGGTTTCGAAGCTCTTCCAAACGCCTCAATTCTTCCTGACGACGCATGAGATCTAACAGGATTAAAAGTGCATTTAAATAGAAAAGCTGTCAATCAATCATGTGACAACAAAAAAATTGTTATTACCATCAGATTATAGTGCTAACATCCAAGTTTTTAAACCAAATTTTCAATGCATTTAACTCATCTCTTTCCATAAAGCTAAGTCTAGTACTTGAAAAAAACACTGGATCCGTGGCATACAGACATAGAAAGATACAAAATGGGCAAAGCCCCTAGAGCAGGCTGTGGGAACAGAAGCTTTGAGTTCTCAAAGGAAAAAAAACTCTCTCAATCCCTTAAATCACATCCTGGTTTTGCATCTAGGACAGGGCATCAATTTTCTCACAACGCTGCATACTGCTGAAGTCACACTACTAAGAAAACCATCACAAAATGTATGGACTTTTATGTTCTCCACTACCTACTGCAGGCCCCTGCATGGCACACATCAGAACAAGAGAAGTCATAAGAACTTCAGGTGCATGAAGGAAGTCTGAACCTCCATGAAGATCTATCATGACTCTGCTTACTGCAACTTACAAATTACTAGTCTTTTAACCCCACATAAAAGGCACAGCCATAGCCTCCTATGAAGCACTTAAAATGCCCTTAAGAAGTACAGCATAACTCACAGTAATTACTTTTGCTGACCAGTCACATTATTGATTTCTGCCAGGAAATCTATGCTGTCTTCAATGAATAATAATTTTACCATTTGTTAGAAAGCAGGTTTTTTTTTTATTTTTTAACATAGGATATTGGCCACATGATACTATTTACAGATACCACAAGTTACATTTTCCCATCCTATCCATTACATGCCTTTCATGCTTTAGTTCAACTGTTCTGCACATTTTCTCTACACATTTCTTCACTACACTAATTAAAATATCTTTTTAGTTATGCAAATCAGTTTCCTCAAACTTGTACACAACACTGTCCACTATGGGAAAATATGCTTCCTTTTCAGTTCTTTGGTCTTCCAAATTTATACAGTGTTCCCTATTTCTTGTGCACACAGGACCAGGATTTCCTACTTTCTCTCTACCACTATAATTTACTGTCCTTTGTGCACTCTACTTTTCTCATTGTTCTCCTAATTTTTCTCCATAGCATAGTTTATTGCCTTTCCTGAAATTGTTAGTTTAACATAGCAAATTATGATTCAGTATCATTTGACAGCTGCCAAATCTTGGCAGAAAGCCTTACTAAGCCGGATGAAAACACAGATCTGGAGGTTCAAACTCTGCACAAGAGCCATTGATATTGAAAGACCTGTAATGATGGTAATTCTTGATTGACAGGTCCTTTCTCTGAGCAGAAAAAAATCTGCACTAAAGCAGCTGTGGGTAAAAAAGAAAACAAACAGAGAGCATTATTATTAGCCTCTGCACTTTCTTGTGCTTATAAAAGAGCAAGGGCTTAATTTTACCTTCAACCTTCTACACAGCAAAAAGCAGAAGATGAAGGTTCTCTCACATCAGAAGTAATTCCTACAAGCTGGAATATCAACTCCACAAAGACTTTAAGCGATTTTAGCTGCTGATATTTCTATAGATGGAAAATACTCAAGATGGAAAATAAATGCCAAGCTTCCATATAATTCATATAAAAATTAAGCTTCTGGTTAAATTCAGTCACGTTTCCCAGTATTTTCATAACCTATTTAACCATCATTATGAGAGAATATTTACAAATGTTTGATGCACCACCAGTATATAGATTAGAAATACCACGCAATTTACTTACACATGGAAACACGTATTCTGCTTTACAAATTACTTCTGACTCAGTCTGTCAAAATACGACACTTCAAAGTGAAAAATTACACATATCAAAAGAATTAAATCTACCTTCAGAATTAATACCACACCACCAAAACCTGAGTACACAAACCAACATGTTGTAGAGTTCCAGTCCTGCTAGATCTTGTGGAGCAGTTTCAACACAACCTTCACCTGCTAGAGTATATGGACCAGTAAGCTCATCCTTCCTGTCATCTTTTTAACTCCTACACAACTAAAACATGATATTTTCCATTTTATTTCCTATTTCATAATGACTTCAACACATCTTTAAATTTGACTTCATGCACCAGGGATACAAAACTACTAATTCTAGGTTCTGGTGCCTTAGAAACGTCATTGCATCTTTCTGTGATGCAATGACAGGATTGCAATCCTGTGATGCAATTAATATAATCAATATTCTTGGCACGACACGGACTTAGACCCACACTGTTCAGAGCAACAAGAAGAAGATGTCTTTGAAAATAAATACAAGTGAAAAAACACTTTATTTTCATGCATACTGAAGCTGAAGAATCAAGAAGATTAAACAGAAGGAATACATACTAATCTCTAGAGCTCTGAAAATTAAATGTTGGCAGGTAACTAAGGAGAAACCTAACTAGCTTAACAAAATTCTGAGTTACCTGGTACCAAAGAGGTACTCTGCTAACCAACCTGTGAGGGGGAAAAGCCCTCCTCCTACACTAAAAGAAACATATTTTCTCACTGGAATAGTAGCACCACATGCTTTCATGTTTTAGTGGCTCTCTAACAGAAGGAATAATTCTCTCTTTTTTAATACAAAACTAGTATTTAACAAATATTCAAAAAGCAGAATATCTTTTCCTTCATGTTGTCCTTAAAAGAAACCCTAATAGCCAAAAACACACCAAAGATGTTTTACCATGTTTTATCATTTTTTCTATCTTAATGAAGAGGCCACTGTAATCTTGTCTCAGTTTAACACATAATTAAGACATGAATTTAAGACAAAGTAATCTCTAATCTTGCCCTCAAGTCCAGGCAACAGGCGAATAAATCCAAAGGAAATTAAAGAGCATGAGTCCTGGAACTGGACTAGTAGTACTGTTAAATATTAACAATTAGATAAATCAACAGTAGATTTATCCAGCCTGTATCTTAAGCACTGAAGCACCTTTACAAATCTCAGTCACGCATACCCACAAAATTACAATGTGTGTCCGAGGGAGGGCTGTACTGTGTATTGTCAGCAGCATTCTTGGATCATATTAACATGTGCATTCCTCACCTCTAATATACACCTGTGCTTACAAGGAAACTTGCTTCAACATCATTCTTGGAAAAGTAACCAAGAAACAGTTGCTATTCCAGGTGCTGCAGCAACTATCTGGCATTGCAAAACATCTTCTACGTTATTACACTCTGTATAAGACCTTATGCTTTTCATCTTATTATATAGGTATGCTTTTATGTTATTATCTTCTGCATAAGACCTTCTGCTCTGTACAAGACCTTATAAAAACAGCATGGCTCCACAATGGGAGCACATGTGCCTATTCAGGAAAAACAGGCTAAGTAAACTTTTTTCTAAAGATAAATTTAGGAGGCAAAGAAAACAGAGTTAGATAATCACCTCTTCATCAGATTACTAATGAATTTCTACACATCATCAAGGAATATGTGCACAGAGAAGTATTCCTTCCTTTTTCTCAGTTAAATGCATTTAATTAAATGGTGACCAGCAAAATGTCCAAGTATATAGCTCAATATGCTACACAAAAAAAAACCCCAAATCTGTGACAAAACAAATTTAATACTGGTAGATGATCTGCTTTTACCTTGCCTCATCAGCATTAGCTGATGCTCATGTCTAGCTGCTTCCATTTCTGCCTCAAGTTTCTCTTTGGCTTCTCTAATGTTCCTGTCAACCTGCTCACGCTGCTGCTTTTCCATCTCATCAAGAGCTTTCCACCGTGAAGCATATTCAAACTCAAATGTTCCAGGCTGAGCAAAGCGGGGAGGCTGTTCTCTTTCCCTAATGAAAATTGTGCAGTAAAAATGTACAGAAGGACACATTTAGATCAACAGTTGTAACAGCCACAGAACGTATACACAGTCACTTCAAACGTAGATCTCACTTTCTATCAACCTGTCAGCTGCATTCTAAACCAGGCAAAGCTTAAATCAGAAATTAAGATAAGTAAAAAGACAATTTTCCAAAAATTGCCCAAATAAAGATTCAATTTATTTAAGATAAAAATTTGTATTGACATCAGTACAAAATACTAAGGTGCAACACTAGATTAACAGTATTCAGCCTTCTAAATCAAGCAGTCAATTCACTAAACCAGTTATTTAAATAAGTATCAATGCTTACTAGACAGCCCAGAATATTAGCCAGAATCTGTAACCATTAAAATGAGCCCACATTTCCCATTCTAACACTAATATTGTACCTAACAGTGACAAATTTTTAAGAAGTGGTATTCTACACTCTTATAAAAATAAACATTTTCGATTCAAGCAACATGAATGGCAAATTACAATATTAAAAAGTAGTATTTTCAGATTAGGGGACTTTTATCTCATTATTCACTTTCTCATGTCATGCTCAAAGTTTTACCTCAGCTGTGGAAACTGCAAAGATTTACATGCCAGGGAGACTGCAAACAGTTAAGGGGCTATTCAGAGAACACAAAGATCTGTGGGTATTCAAAATCTCTATAGGTTTAGACCACATCCCTAATCCATAAAAGACTATAGTTTGCTGGCAACAAGCTCCTATTGACGGCAGTGTAGGCCAAGAATCTCTCTACTACACTAAATGCACAGAATGTTAAACTAACAAGCCAAGTCTCAATTTAACCATGATTAGGAAATTTGGGAAGGTCCTGTTTAATCCTTTGACACAAAACTGCACAACATACAAAAGCCCTACTTCCTGCCACACAAATTCAAAAGTAAAAATCAGTGCATATTTACAAAGGTAACTAAGTATGTAATAATGTTTTATAAAGAAAGGCTAACCACAACTTACTTGTGGTACTGTTGTGTTTTTTGCATTAGCTTCTCAGGGAGTCCATCCTCATCATCAAATTGCTCCATTGGTTCTACAACAACAGGTCGAGGTGTTCTGGAAAACATTTTCAATTTAATAAGTGAATCATTAAAGAAGCAGTTACAACTTATTTCAGCATTTTGAAAAAACACTCCAGAAAGCTAACATGTAATTCCCGTGTCTTGTCTTAAATCACAGAATTCCAATGAATCCCAATCTTAAGAATCACCTTCGGAAAATAATTGGTTTTATGCCCAAATCCAGCTATTCTGCCTAGAAACAACTTACTTGACACAGCTGTGTTTGCTTTTTTAAAATACTATAACCATCTACCACTAATTACAACATATATAGGAAGGAACTACATTTCTGTTCTTATCAGTGAGGCACCACAGAGGCTGTGATGGTACTGGGAAAGCAACAAACCCAAAACAGAGCAGCACAACCTATTCTTATTTCTACTGACATTTACAACTTAGTTCTACAAGTGACTCTAGAACTGAAAACAGCTCGATAATTTGGTATTAATATTACAACAATAAATAGAAAAACATTTCTGTTTTAAGTTATTTAAAATCCATTCTTTGAACAACTACAATTCACGAATTAGAATCCTAACTGAAAAGCTGAAAACAGCTTCCTTGATATGTAGTAACGAGAGGCAAGCATGAGCCAAAGAGAGCAGTGTAAAAACTGTGAATTGTATAAAAAGCTCTTTGCATCAGTGTTGGGAGCAGAGCTTACAAAACACATAGCACTAAAGACATGATTTTCAAAACAGCAGCACTCGTTTATTGTATTCCATGCCTTTATTTCACTTTGCAGATCTTCCCCTACTGCCCCAGTCCCTCACCAGGAAAAAAAAAAAACCACCACCAATCAAAACCAATGAACCCCAATATATTTTACTCTGTGCATCAAGTTCGCATTAAAAAGATGAAGTCTGGAATCAAAGGCCACAACTCAGCAACTGTTTTTTCTGATGCCATCTGCATCAGAAAAATTGCTGACAGCTCTGCTACTCAAACGCAACTAAACTGTGGTGCTAACAAGTTATGATGTAAAACAACAATGTTAAAACACTAATGTTTTGAATGACTAGTTTTGATATATTTACACAGGAACTGAAACATGTTCTATTTAGGCAAAGAGTTTTCAGTTACGAAAAAGTAAAACTTTAGACTTTGAAGCAAAACATCAAAGTAGATGGCAGCAGATTCATGCTAATTGTCTTTGCAACTGTGCATAAGGGAACATGTCACGTAAACAAGAAAACGATCAAGTGCTTTTTATTCACTCAGGATATGGTTAAATGGTCATTTCAATTCAACTGATCTATCCAGCTGGCAAAACAAGAATACCCTCCCCTCATATCTCACCTTCTTTTTCCCTGCTCATCTCTCATGCCAAGAATAGCACTAATGTAACACTTGAACTACATTACTTCCCTTGTTTGGCTCACCACGCTTCCATTCAGTTACTAATGCCAAGAAAACCCAAGGAATAAGAACAAATTGCTGGCACCTCCCGCTAACAGTAAAGATGTACTCAGATTAAATTTACTATGTAACCATCAAATCAGTTCAGTAGCACATAAGATTTGGGAGTTAAAGACCCCTTACTCACCTGCCAGCTCCTCCTGGCAACATTTTGTCCTGCCTTATTCTCTGCTGGACTTGACATCAGCAAGCACCTTCCCGTGCTTGAACAGACTGCAATGGACCCTGATACAAATGAATGTTTTTCTGTTGTTTTAGCAAGCACAAGTGGCTTATGGAAGTGTCATGAAGCTCAAGAATAGCACAGCCAGGGCAGGAAAAGAACTCCAAGCCCAATTCAACAGCAGCAAGTTTTCATGCTGTGAAATCACAGCCTTATTTTCCCAATGAGAATCACAGAAATAAAAAGAAATCATAAATATGTATCATTTCACACCGTTTTTAAGAAAGCATTTAAAAATGTCACTTGTGACTGCGTAAAGTGCAGCAATTAACAACTCTCTTTGGCAAGTACAGAAATAGGAGATGCAAGAGAAGTGCTGCTATTTGCAAGCTTGCTTGTCCTTGAAATAGATTGTTTTCCAAACATCACTAGTATAAATCTCTTCAGAATCTGTCCTCATTTTGAAACAGTGAGAAAATCCTGGCCTTACAAGCCACAGGTAATTTTTGGGGTATAAACACTTTCTTTAGTCTACAGAAATATCAGCAATGTCGTGCACTGATTTGTTAAGAAACAAAGGAATAGGAATATTATTTTCTCACTTTGTTAACTGGGATCAGCAAGAGTGCAACCAATGAATAAAGTCTCAAAAGAAAATGCCTTATTATATAGAGAAGGAAAACTAGTATTACATATGAACAAGGAAAAAACTAGAATTTTGCTCTTAGACTCTCATATGGTAATAAGAAGTCTTATAAACAGTAAGCAGAGAAATATGGTTTTCTTTAAAAAAAAACCCAAGAGTATTTGTGGTATTCATGCAAAACAGTTAAATTTCTAACCTCGTGGCTTTCAGAATTTCAAACAAAATAAGAACTAGGGAATACCATGAATGCAATTTTTGCTCACATTGGGAAGATATACTGACAACTTCAAACAAAAACCTGTGAACTTACGTTGTAAGCAAGAATGCCCCATCATTGCATCTTTCCAGAGCTTTCCGTGCTGGAGGTTTTGCTGCAAACTCTACAAAACCTTTCCCTGTGGCTCTGCCGCGATCATCTACTACAACAACCGCTCTTTCCACTGGCCCGAATTGCGAGAACGCTTGTTCCAGCAGCTCATTGGAAACCACAGGCGACAGATTCTTCACCGTTAAGGCAGCTCCATGGGTAGCAAATCGAATTCGAAGTGGTCTGCTCTTCAAAATAGTACCATCAAGTTCTGCCTTTGCTATTTCAGCCAAGGTCCTAGATTCCTTTACAAAGATATTAAATATTTTATAGCTTTTATTTTCAAAGACAGCAAGTACCACTTTTGTGTGCCCCCCCCCCCCCCCCCGCCGAAAAGTAGCCAAGTTGTTTTCCTTCACTTGAGCATATTGGCACCAGGATCATTCAACTTGTTTCCTCCAATCAAAAAACCAACCAACAACAAAAAACCCAGCAAACAAACCAACAAAGTCTCTGTCCTCTGATTGAAAAATTGGCATTCATTACCCCTTACTGTTTATTCTAAAAACAACACAGATGCAAATTTTTTTCTTGCACATTAGAGGATTTAACAGATTTTCACTATGATGCCACTGCTCTATAAAGGTCTTGAGTAGAGTTGGAAAGTTGATACTTTCACGTTTACCTACTCAAATGTTTATATTCTGCATCTCTGGCTCCGCGCAGCAGGAAACGGTGGATCTAAGGTATTTTGGGTTGGGTTTTTGTTTTGCTTTTAAATAAGTAAAAATATCGCATTTGCTCTCAATGGATGTCCAACTCAAGTTTCATCAACAAATGGTGAAATTACCTTCTTTGCTCTTCTATTCATTCGTCTCACATTATTGGGCTTTCTGCACCCACATTCGTGAGAGAGTGTAAATCAACAACTACCTTTTTTCTCACTACAAAAATCTTCACCAGGTTAGATACCTGCAATCCCTGACATTTAAAAAAATTCTTTATATATTTCTACACAGTTCAACTGGCTAGGAAAGCTCTTAAAATATATATATATATATATATATATATATATATTCCCTAAACGCAATGGAAAAGGAAAGTTCACACAGAAAGCTCTATCTAATTTCTATTACACACAAAAATGAGTAACGAGATGTAAGAATATCTCGCTTCCTCCATAAAATTGCTATTTCAGGCTGGGAAATTCTCAGGGTAAAAGATGCATGGCAGAATGGCACAAGTATTTTAAGATGACAACCAAAAAAAAAAAACCAAAAAAAACCCCAACAAAACCCAAAACCCTAAGCAGTAAAATATATGGAAAAATAAGATTAGACACCTAAAGCACTCTAAAGCTATTCCCAGAATGATACAAATCTGTGCATTTTAAGCACAGCAATCGTGAAAACGAATCTCGCATACTAAATTACCATTTAAATACAGTATCATAAACTTTTCGAATTATTCGGTTTTTGCATGCTTAACTCGAGTATGTTTAACCAAATACTGCATTACCCCTAAAAATCTAGCCTTATCTGGGCAAAAGTAATTTAAACAATCCGCGGACCGCAACCTTTTCAACTCCGTGATTTTACGTTCCGTGTTCACGACGTGCGAGCAGCTGTATTTCGAAACAATCCTGCCCATTCTTTAAAATGAACCGTAATAAGTGCCATGGGGTGAGGCGGGGACCGAAACGCCAGGGGCTGGGAGGACTACTCTGAATGCAGGGGTCTGGCTTTGATGTGTAGAGGCGAACGGGGAGGGGAGAGAAGGAAGAAGAGGCGGGGGGACCTGCGCTACCAGCGAGGAGGAAGAGTGGCAGATGCTGCTTATTTTTACACCCGCCGCAATGGAGGTGAAGGGGGTGGGGGGCAAGGGACCGAAGCCTCTCGCTTTCAGAGCCATCCCCAGGGTGACGGGGCAGCCCCAGGGGCCCGCCCGGATCCTCACCAGGCGGATGAAGCCGAAGCCACGGTCCCGATTGATGAAGACCTCGCTGGGCTCCCCGTAGCGCTCGAAAAGGCGCTTGAAATCCTCCTCGGTGATATCAGTAGGCAGATTCCCCACGAACAGCCGACAACGCTGCGTGTAGCTCTTCTCGCCAGGTTTGAGAAAGCTCTTGATATCGATGGTGAACCCAACCTCCGGCTCCTCATCTCCGCCACCTTCTTTGCTCGGCACCAGAGCCATGGCCGCCGCCGCCTCACTCTCCGCTTCTAGGCCGCGCAAACCTTTCAGGTTACCGCCGCCGCCGCCCCCCACCATGCCCATCGGCACCGCTGGGGAGCTGTTTTCGATCCGCACTTGCTTCAAGTTCCTATTCGCGGCCATATCCGCTCCTTCCTCGCGGGTTCTCCCTCGGGGGACACGGAACCCTGCTCGGCAGCCGCCGCCTCCGACCCTCAGCCAATTCAAAATGGCGCCGCCGCCAACCCCGGCGAGTTGAGCCGTCCCCGCGGGAAGCCCCGCCCCGGCCCCGCTCCCCCTCACGGCCCCGCCGCCGCCGCTCCTCCCCCTCAGCTCCGGTGCACGGTCGGACCTGCCCCGGGCCCACGGAGAGCCGTCTTTCCCCCACTAAAGACAGATGTGTGTTCGCGGCTGCCCTGTGTTGTGTTAGAGCAGTGGTCTCCTCAGCCCGTCCCCAGGCAGAGGAGCCCCTTGCTGGGGTCTCTCCCGAGGGAAAGGCGGCCGGGCGGGATGCCCTGGGGGTGTCTGGTCGCTGCGGGAGAGAGAGGGAGGCAGGCGTGACACAAGAGACGCTGAGGCGGTGGCAGCGGGGACAGCTGAGGGAGCCACAGAACCACATAATCCATCAGGTTGGAAAACACCTCTTGTGGTCATCGAATCCAACCTGTGGCTGAACGCCGCCATGTCACCCAGACCACGGCACTGAGTGCCACGTCCAGTCTTTCCTCAAATACCTCCAGGGAAAAAAATTCCATCACCATGCTGGGCAGCCCATTCCAATGTCTAATTCCCCTTTCTGTGAAGAGATTTTTCCTGATGTCCAACGTAAACCTGCTCTGATGCAGCTCAAGGCCATGTCCTCTTGTCCTATGACCTGTTGCCTGGGAGAAGAGGCCAACCCCAACCTGGCTGCACCCTCCTTTCAGGCACTTGCAGAGTGATGAGGTTTCTCCCAAGACTTCTTTCCTCCAGGATAAACAACCCCAGCTCCCTCAGCCACACCTCACAAGACTTGCTCTCCAGACCTTTCTCCAGCTCCATTGCTCTTCTCTGGACTAGTTTCAGCTTCTCAGTGTAATTCCTGAATTGAGAGGCCCAAAACTTGACACAGCACTTGAGGTGTGGCCTCAGCAGTGCTGAGTACAGGGGGGCGGTCACTGCCCTGCTCCTGCTGCCACACCAGGGCTGATCCAGGCCAGGAAGGGCTGTCCGGGCACTGCTGTGCAGCAGTGGAGTACCTGTGGACAGACAGGGCACAAAAAGCATTCACCGAGGCAGATGTGGGAGACATCTGAATGAAGAGAGGCCTTGTTACACTCCTTCCAGGACAACTTCTTACAGAGCAACAGCTTTCATTATAAAGGGGGCAACTTTCTTCTGAGACGTGTGAAGTCAAATGTTTCCTTCCTCAGGCATGCCTTCTTCTAGCAAAGACTGTGGATGTCCCTCATCTGCAGCACCAGACTGTGGTTTGCTCTCCCACCAGATTTTTAGCTGCTTGGCTTGGTTCGTGTGCTTCGGCCAGTAGTAAAACTAGTGCATGGTTTCTCAGAATTATTTGTTTCATTAATAGAACTCTAGCACTGAAAAAGTCCAGACCATCTTATGAGGTCAGTAGTTACTTCAGCTAGTGTGTGGCATAACTGTTGTTTGGAAAAAGCAATGTCAAGCATGATATTCAAGAACAAAATAATTCTACAACAGGCATGAATGTGTTGCTTGGGGGTTACTTTGTCTATTGAAGAATATTTTAAGTTCCTCTGTCTTGTTGTACCACTTGAGGTAAAACAAAGATCTGTCCCTTTCTTCCTATCTCTGAGCTTGTTCAAGGACCTTGAGAAGACACAAGCTCCCAGCTTTCTCAGTCCACCTCTATCTGAAGCAGACTTGTGGGTTTAGGGCATCGAGCTAAATGCAGATTTTAACCTCTGAAATTCAGAAAATACAGATGATAGAGGAAGGGCAGTGTGGAATCCTTAAAGCCTAATCATCTTGACTGTCCAAAGAACAATTCTTTGAAGTATATTTAGGATTCAAGAGCAAGTGTTAAGACACAAGTGTTTAAAAAAGGAACCACCTTACACCAAACCAATAACTTTATAAATAAAGCATGAAAAGGGAGTGAAATATATGTTAGAAATTATGTGACTATACACTGTAGATGTGTACTCATCAGTAGATGGAAAAAAGGAGACGCAAGGTAGTCTGGCTGTTTTTAGCAATGTGGTATAATAAAATTGTCATGGTTTTCAAATAGAGATTTCCAAATCAGGTTAGTAGTAAAAGCTGCAACCATTTAAATTGCAACCACAATTTCCTGTGTGTAGTTATGATATTTTCTGAAAAATCTTTTTGCTAGGATTTTTCTCCTGAGGAGCCTCAGGAAAGAAATGTAAACAATAACTATCTGCTGCTGTGGAATGCAACAGGCACATCTTCCATTGGTCCATGTGGATTGTTTTCAATTGATGACCAATCACAGCCACCTGTGTTAAGGCTGTTAGCAGTCACAAGATTTTGTTATGCATTCTATTCTTGTTCTTTCAAGCCTTCTGATTTTTCTCTCTGTTCTTTTAGTATAGTTTTAATGTAGTATTTTAATATAATATATATCATAATATAATAGACCAGCCTCCTGAGAAACATGGAGTCAAGCCTTGTGTCTCCACACATGGAGAGTTCCCAACACCTGTGTACTATACAAATGTCAATAGGAAGAGAAAGGACTGTTTACAAATTCCATACTATTCTTACTTTTCCTTAACTATAGCAATACCTCAATAAAAAAAAATTATAGTTCACTAAAATAGAGCAATAAAATTCCACCTTCCAGAAACAAGGAAATATATCTGAAAAAATATACGTACTTAATGTGCTTGTGAATCCATACATTATCTTAATTAGTCAGATTCACAGTATAACCATAATGCTTGCACTTGGTTTTGCTTTTTTGAGAAGGAGCTATTTGCACATGCATTACAGTCAAACATTTAAAGGTAACATGCAAAAAGAACCTTATATCTGCTCTGTTCAGTCACTTCCTCACCTTCATTTACACATCACTTCACAATAATTTACTCACTATTAGAAAAGCCCCAGACAGTTTATCTCCCCAAGTGCCCAGAGTCTTGGTGGCTTGGTGACTTCTACACCTTGCCACGGACACCAGTTAACCAAAAAATATTTTGAAAGGAAAAAAAAGGGTCTCTTAATGTTCTTGTTCCAATGTTTTCCTTTAGCTATAAACATCCACTGAAATCTTTATGGCTTACTAAGTCAAATTCATATCATTGAAAGAGGTATCCTAGGCTATTCCAGCCACTCTTCCTTAGTCTGGTATTGTTATAATTAATATTTTGAATGTAGTTGAACTACATGGAAGTGATTTCAGAAGAGTGGGGGAGAAACAGTTATAATCACATGGTAATTTACATTCATTCTGTCTTGAGGGGTTTTATGGAAGCCTGAATATACTCAACTTGGCATTCAAAAGGCCACAACAGACAGCCCTGATTTTGTCTAACAAAATTTATTTTGACTTGGAATTTATTTTAAGACCTTAAAGCAGTCATGACTTCTTAATTTCATGAAAGGAAATGAAATCTCAAGATTTCAATGAAAATCATTGTGACAAGTTTCAATCTATTTCATTGCACTACCTTTCTTTCCATTCCAGTTAATTGTTTTCACCTAATTTCAGAATTTTTTGTTTTTTCAATTCCATTTCATGTCATTAGATTTCCTTTCCTGTCTTTTAATTTCCCATCATTCCTTGATTTCTCATTTAATTTCTTTTCATGAAATGAAAATCCTTCATTTCATGAAAGGAAATGAAATCTCAAGATTTCAAGCAATATAATTTAATGACATTCTGGCTCATTTGCACTTCATTTCATTGTATTCTATTTATTTGTTAATACTTTGTTTCAGAATTTTCTTTTTTTTTCTTTTTTATTTTTTTTTCACACAAACCTTTTAACAAGCTTGGGGCTGCAGCTGAGGTGCCCATCCCCGTCCATGGCCCTAAGCTAAAAGTTGTTGAGGCAGAAATGTGGCTCTGCCTGATCCTCTTGGCATGTGTTTTCCATCCCAGTGTTCCTGGAGCTGGAGGCTCTTGTCTCTCAACCCTAACTCCAATCCTGATGGTGTCTGGTTGCAGGAGCTGAGATGCCCATCACTGCGGGTGGTCCAGATTAGAAAGATGTAAGAGCAGCATTGGTGGGGCCGTGCCGGAACAGGCCTGGCAGAACTTCTCCAGCCTGTGTTCCTGAAGCTGTCGGCTTTCTTACTCTCTCAATCCTAGCCCTAACAGCAGCCCTAACCCTGATGGCAGCTTGGCACTGTGGCTGAGATCCTCATCTCCACAGGCGGCACAGACTAAAAAGTGTTGAGTCAGCAATGCTGCCACCCTGCCGTGATGCCCTTGCACTGCCTTTTTGAGTGTCCCTGTCCCAGCAGCTGTAGGCTCTGCAGCTCTCTGAGCCCTAACCTGAACCCCGCCTGTCGCTGCTGCTGAGATCCACACACCGTGGCTGGCCCGCATTCAAAAAGTGAGAAGTGAGCAATCTTGGTACCCTGACGTGATGAAAATCATTCATTTTATGAAAATAAATGAAATCTCTAGATATCAATGACAAATCTTGTTGTGAAGTTTCGGCTCATTCCTGTAATTCCAATTCCATTTAATTGTTTTCACTTCATTTAGGAATTTTGGGGTTTTTCAATTTCATTTAATGTCATTATATTTACTTTCCTGTCTTTTAATTTAATTTAATTTCATTTCATTTCATTTCTGTCTTTACATGTACTGTTTCTTGCTCATTTATTGTTTTGGACTATCATCTCACAGATGGTTTTACATTTAAATTTACTAGCATATCTATAATATTCTGCATATGCATGAGTCTAGTACAATCACTATTGCCCTATTGAGAAGAACATTTATTAGCAAAAAAAAAAATAGGGGTGAAAATCAGCAGTATTTTTCATTTTGTCTGCTACAGAGACAGGTTATGTCATATTAGACTGTCAGAAGGAACTGTCCTAGCCTTTAATTTTCGGTATCATAGCATTACTTTCCTACCAAATATCAGCAGCCTGCTGAATACCAGGAATGCATCAGACCTCTAAAAGGAAGCCTTGAGAGCTTTTTATGCTGCAAACTTGAAAATGCTACACATCTTGATGTGCAAATAAAGATCTAGTACTATTTGTAGCTAACTTTGCACAACTTCAATGTGACTGGTCAGATGCCAGCACTCCAGTGATGACAGCTGTGACAGTGCTGAAACTGACTTCTCAAAAGAC